AGAACGTCTGGGATCTGTAAATTTGTCAGTGGATATGTAGACAGTAAGCAAACTCCATCCTTTCCGTGTTGTAGGCCTTGACTGTTGGGTCTCCACAACAGTAGATGCCATTATGTACTATTTCGAGTGCGGGATAGCAACAGCTACTTCCACGGATGATCGTGACGAGTTGACGGTATTATTACACACAGAAAATTAAATCCATATTCATGTATAGATGATACTTCCAGAGTAACATACAGACAACTCACCTGCGCGTCATTGTGTGGCGGTTGTTGGTGCAATATCAGGCCTGCTCGCCACTTGTCAACAAGATCAAGGTAAGACGACAGCAGTCGGGTCACCGGGTCGCGCACGACCGCGATCTTGATCCAGCCGGACCCGTTGTCGGAGTAAATCTCCTTCATCGACTGCCCGTCAGTCGTGTCGACAAGTGTCAATTCCGAGGCCTCTCGATCGAACAGCAGCGACCGGTTGTTGGACACCCCCCAGTGCGGGATACCCTTCGATGCGGTTACGGTCGAACATGAGAGTGCTCGTGAAAATCATTGCTCCGTACGAGATGCGCCTGGTTATGCCATATTCTAGTGTGCTGCGCTCCACAGAAAGATGGGGGGTAACGGGGGGGTGCGTACCTTTGGGCTCCAGAGTTCCCGTAGACCAGTTAAGACTCGGTCGACGGATGGATGCAAGAAAGACCACTAAAAACAACGGACACATGGTACATACCACAAAATAGGTGCAAACTTCTCTCGACAATCTCAACAACAATCGGATGGCACCTGCTTTCTTCGAATTCATGCGAGTCGTCGATCGAAAAATCGGTCCTTCAGTGCCATAATTGCCGTTGTCCTGAGCAACAGGCTAACGTTTTGGCGGTGATGATGTTGAGGAATAGGGTGGAGGTTAGAAAATGTGCAATTCGCACATGTATACAAGGGCACGAACCCGGGAGGACCGATGAGGAAAGTGTTCCAGTTTCTGTCGCATAAGAAGGTGACCTTACGGCACAAACTTGGTGTGACAACTAGGAGCAGTTCGACTGCAGACTGCGTAAATTCGAAAAGACCCAAACTGCGTGTGAAGTTCCCATTTGGGGAATCGCAGGAACTTGTTTCGTTGGGTTCTTCGCGGTGGTCACCGAGGCATGTACACTTTTGTACGTATTGGTCGGATGTTTCATGGAAGTCCATGAAAGGTCCACGGACGACGATGGAAGCCATGAAACATTCCATGGAAGTCCATGAAACCTTTCAAGGATGTGCTTGGTAAGGTACCACCGAGGCATACAGACGGTACATGCCGGCCCTATGTACTCTATCGAGCGTCTCGGCATGCTTTGGTATTTTTTCAGTACCTTACCGAAAATTCTGGTACACTATTGACAAAAACCAAGGTGCAAGTACCGAGAATACCGATACAGAGCTTCATACCGCTTCCGCGAGAAATACCGGTACCGACGCAGAGTTGCAAACTGCTGTGCACCTACCAAATGCCGAACACACAACTGCTGCACCCTACCGAACATCACAAAACCCTGTCTGTCTAGGTAGACTATACACGATAGATATGCGGGTTCCAGTCGTGCCGACCCCTGTTGTTCTGGCGGCACTTCCTCTTCGCAAGCCCCGTCACCAGTTGTTGTCGACGTCCAAAAGCGTGCCTTCGAATACAGCAGCAACGGTCTACAACACGCTCGGGCAGGTGTGCGACGTGCCCCTCGACACCAACACAGCCGTCCATGGTTCCACTGTGCCGACAGGTTATCAGACAATAGGAAAACACGTGAAGCGTCTTTGATGTATTCGGTTCGAGTATACGTCGAACCGATCGACAGGCAGAACAAGGCCAATCACCCCTAGTACTTCGGCGTACGTGACGCTAGCTGCCGGTCGAACAAGTGTAGCATTCCCTGAAAGAAGGGCGGTGACCGAGCTAACGTCAACTAGGGTTTCCCATACGCGGCTTACGTGAGGTTCCCTCTACTCTAAGCCCTAGCGAAGCGTTTTGCGAAGAGAAAAGTGCACGGAAAGCAGAACATTGAATAAGCAACAATACTCGAAGGGCGCAGACACGAACAAATGTACAAAGCAGCAGCCTTGTAGACAAGTACAGCGAAAAATGTTAACCAACTTGCATCCGCAGAGCAGGTTAGTCCCACCTTATGCCGCACCCCCACAGAGGTCTCAGATCGCGTCTTGCGCGACCATTGTCAGTTTAAGGTCACCCAATTGCCTTCCCACTACACACGTATCCACGTAACCCCCAAACCCCTGAAGATCAGGAATCGGGGTCGAGTACCATAAAACACATTTCGCACCCTGAAGACAGAGAGAAAATATCTATGATGTCCACGCCGTTGTTGACCTCTCTTGCAGGGACGCTTCGCCAATGCCGCTTACCGTCGTGGCCTCACCTTAATTACGCTGTGGCAGCTGTTTTTCGTGACTGCTACCACAGGCAGTGTATTCTATCAACACCGTAGAACGACGCGCAGGCCGGGAGTTGTTTCCCTCCGATAGAATCGTTTCATCTCCCAAAACCAAAGAGTTGTTTGCAGCGGCATGGACACGTTCATCCATGTTCAAGCGGTTCTCTACTGGACAACACCGACAAACACATACATCGCAGCTCCAAACGTCATCACCTAGGACGCAAGTACGCCGATTTGTCGAGGCGGGCATCTTCAAGCGGACGCTGAGGGGTTGCCGAAAAATGTTGCTGTACTTGCACCCACACTTCGAGGACAAACAACGAATCACGACACAACGACGATTTCCAACTTCATGATCAAATTTACATGATACCTGCATGCGTTTGGCGAGCATCCTGAACTGTAACGAGCCGGTGTTTGGGGCAGCGCAGAATAGAAGGGATCGCTCCATGACGACGATCGTCTCGGACTCAGTCAGCCACTCCCGGCTGCAAGTCGAGGTTGGCCAAATTGTAAGGAGCCCGAGGAGCGGAGGGAGAAGGGAGGGAAGTGAGCAGGAAGGTAGGAAGGAGGCGGGAGGGAGGCTGTTCACAATTCACCCTTAATTAGGTAAAATATTGTGTCTCAGGCTGCGAAACATACCCGATTAGGATGCCGGTCCGCGCTGCACAATTGGGTACAGTATGGGCCCGGCCTAACCCTCGCGGAAACCTCCAGCCTGTCCATGTACACCGGCGGCGGCCAAGTTGACAACCTCTGATGTAACGCGTGGTGGTGCTGCTGCCCCGGGGTCTTGTCATGAACATATATTCGTACTTTGAAGCATATCACCTACGGAAGTACCCTTACCATGGTGGTTCCCATCGAGAAACCGGGTGAAGCCGCCTCCCCGCTCTGCCGCCAACATTCAACCCCCATTACCAAAGGCGTCCCTCCTCTCTCATCCTCTCACATTTCGTTGGTCGGGGGTGGTAGCTGCGCAGACGTCCTCCGTGCTAACCACTCCGCTTTAAGATGGGTCTCAGGGCAGGTCCACAGGTCTGCCGACCTAATGTCACCCTCCCTCCCGTTCCCCCCCGCGAGCGCATAGCTCTGATCGGAAAATTTCATAGGGAAAGGACTGCTCTCTTGGTTAGTTTCGTACGAAAAATATGAAATACGGGCTAAGCAAGCCCAATCTCGGCCACAACGTAAGGAACGCCCCAATAAAAAACGTGATGGTGCGATACCCCCATGACATCAGAAATCTACATTGCTCCCAACCCCCTGCCAGGCTGAACAGAAGTGCATTTTTTTTTGTAGGGGGCAGGGTCCCCCCTCTACCGCCCCCCCCGCGCCCCTGCTGTTCACAGTGAGTGCTGGACTGTAGTTGTACTGCCACACATCGCGGACAACCATATGGTTAGGGCTCCGCCGTTGACGGGTTTGATGGCACTCTCTACCACCTCTCTTGAGGGCTTGATGATGTGGATTGTCCTCAGAGATCAAAGACAGAAAAATGAAAAAACGAAGCTTGTTGTAGTGTAAGGAATAAGGGAATCTGGAGGATGCGACAGTCCGAAGGAAGAAGAAATGTCATTTACGAAATGGACGACTTGGGCCTGTACTTCGACCCAAAAGAAGGGATTGGTGAGGCTCGGACCGATTTTGACGTTTTGTACCTGCGGGCGCTATCTCTAGGATTGAACGTCCTCCAACCGAGAAATAACCTCGCCCTCGGTGAGGGAAGAGGTTGTTCATGACTCCTTTTTTGGCGGCATCAGATGGACCGCCGGTGGATGGGAGAAATCTCGCTACTTCTGCTCTCTGTGCGTCGCTACCTCTGCACTCACTGTGGTGCGTGATTCGTGCAAAGAGCGGCCGGCAGGCCCGCATAACACACAATACGCGGCAGAAAAAAATGGGGGTACCCCATTATCGTAGATTCTGCCGGGGCCCCGGAGCTCAGCAAAACAAGTTTCTTAATGCGAGCGTCCTTGAAGCGGGGTCGACTGTATACGCTTCCTGTATCTGTGCGCACCTCTCGGACGAAGTTGGTGGCGGTGCCAAAGAACGGATGTATGTCGCTGAGCTCCGGACCCTCGGTAATGCCGTACAGGAGTTTGTTCGCAACCCTTCGCCCACCTTCTTGCAATTTCTCCAGCTCTGCAGCCGACCTTTTTTGTCGTCACGAAATACACATTGAACGACCAAAAAGGTATCGTCATTCCAGCTTGCACGGACACCAAATGATAGAGTACAAGGACCAAAATCCCCATCTGTCTAACGTGCAAATCTTTGTCGCTGTTTCAGTATTAGAACTTGTGTACCGTGCACTGGACCCAATCAAACAAACACACACCCCGCATGTTATAGTGGGTGTCCCTCGTACGAACTTCTAACCCTAAGGCCCTACCCATAGTAGATAAGTCAACACAAGCAAAACATAGTCGTGTGTGCCGTTCGTAGGCGGCTTTCGTGGTATCATGCAACAGGCAAGATAGCCACGGTTAGAGGACTCGAAGGGATGCTGACAAATTTGACAACATACGCAAAAGCATGCTATGTGCCTCGTACTCTGTATGCCGGTTGAATCCCCTTGCGCGATGCAGTGGAATGTCGTTGTTCCCCCCTCCGAAGCTACTCCACGATAGGTTGCATAAGATATCGGAAAGGGCCACAAGTATTGTCCTGCTTCGGGAGAGACATATATATGCGCGAGGGGCGTACCCACACCACCCGCCGCCCCTGAACGGTAGAGTGTTGGTTGGAGATAAACGAGCTCACAGAGCGCATCAACCCGGTAAAGTTCGACGAAGTGTACGCTTAGTCAAACGCGACAAGAATCATTGTCACCTCGAGAGCACATCTCGAACTACATCCTTGACGAATTCCCGTGTGCTGAAGCCAGCCGAGTCAACCACCACAGCAAAGTTCGAATAGTTGACCGCAGTCCTGACGCACCGCCCCCCCACGGAAGAGGAAATATACGAATGAAAACGGCGAGAAAATACAAGACGACATCAGCGAACAAAATGACAATGATGTAAGATTCACGACGAAGGTGTGTTGAGGAGAACACATCAATTGATTTTTCTTGATCTCCGCCCTCATCACCCTCATATTCAGCGAGGATGTATCCACACCTGGAAGGTAGGGGTCTGAGCCAAAAGTTAGGGCGAGGGTTTCTGCACCCGTGTAACTCGCAGGTAGAAATTGGTAGGAAGCAGGTGAGTGATCGGGCATGCTTACAGTATCGAAGCCGTCCAACAATTAGAAGGCCTCCCGTCTTCACCGGTGAGGTAATCGATGATTCGCTGCTGCATGTGTATCAACAGTTGAAACCGTGTGGGCGATGGAGGGGGGAGTGAAACAATCCATATTTTAACACCAATTTCACATCGGGTCGTGTGGCAGAAACACATGCCCGGAAAAGAGCCCAGCCCTTGCGTGCTGAAACAAACTTCAATGCCAGGTCTCGATCCTCTGCGTCAAACCAAGCCTTACCCCCAAAGTGCTGTTTTTCTTGATCGTTGCATGACATCTACACAAAACGAAGGAACGGAGACTAATAACTGTCTCCACGGTCCCGCGTTCCCGCATGACCAAAACTATGCATCGAGCACAGAATGTCACTCGCGTCACAACACCAAGGGGAGGGCTCACTGGGAAAATGGAAGCATGGGCACCGTAGCCTCGGTAACGATCGGCGTGCACCCCGCCGCGATGGCGTCGAACAGGCGGCGGCTCGATTCCGTGTCTCCACGTGGAGAGAAGCAGAACCTGCTCGACGTCCGCCGACCCACGCACCCGTCGATCGAAGATTCGTTTTGACGTAGGGAGTGGGTAAGTTGTCAGGTACGTCCCGGCAACCGAACTATCGCACGGAAGTCTGCCCACTTTGAACCCCTTCTAGGTTCTTGGTCTACGTCCTCTGCAGAGGAATCGTTCGCCCACGAACAGTCAACACACGCTTCACTGCATACAAACCAACGCAGACAGTTGCACATCTACACATGATGAATCAGGTTATTGTAGGTGCTTCAAGCGCCACGTTCAACGACGCTTGTGTTGGACATTAACGTTTGACGTGTCAGCAGCCGCAGACGCACCTGCTGCGGGCCATGTGTTCGGCGTATTGCGTCGAGTTCATGCCCCATCGCGATGGAAGGTTATCAAGTATCACGACGCTGCCCTTTGCAATGTCCGCCACCACCTGCAGAATATGCAGAGCATACAAATGGTACTACGATCCGTTAAATAGAATCGAACGCAGTGATAGAAATTGTACGACATTGGGGTATCAACGACGGGTTCACCCTGGTGTGGTGGAAAAGTGAGCGACAAACATTCAGTACCACGTTCGGCAACAATATCGCGAATGCCACCAAGTCGTATGCATTCCTGGGTGGTAGAGACCCACCACTGAGACGCGCGCGCTCACGTACCAAAAACGCGGAAAAGCCAAGCATTCAGGAGTAGCAACAGAGTCAGGCGCACGTCTTGATCGCTCTGTCTCGATATCTCTCTGGCAAGAAAAAGGCGTAGGGCCGGAGACATCTACGAATATACAAGTTGATATACAATGTACAATGCTCACACCTGACACGCATGAGTGACATGTGCTTTTGCATAAACCAAATAATGACACAAGGGAATTCGTAAATGCTTCTTACGGACCAGAAAAGACAAAGGCGGAACGTAGGTACCGGGAACGTACGTCGAGGTTTTCGCGCTCCGGGCGGCCCCGGGCCGTCCCGACAAAAAAGAACGGAATGTCGCGGGCTTCAGCCGTGCGCCCCCCGATCATGTCGCTTGTAGCGAGGACGCTGCTCGCTGTGTAAGGCACGGTGACCATCTTTCGCGGCCCGCAGCCCCATCTGTTGCGGAGCAATGTGATTGGTTGGTCCCAAGACACACAAGACACACGGATACCGGGAGATTCAAGCAAGCATTCTCTCGACAAATCGAGCAAAGACACGGCGCGCTCGTAAATAGGGGTTCCACACGAACTACTCGACGCTCAAACGCTAGACGGGTCCCTGCAAGCACGTCGAGGCAGAACAAAGGGCATTCATGAAGCAATTCCGTTTCCTGTCTCTCACCACCGTGTCTGATGCGTGATAAAGTCTCTCACCAGTGAGAGCCAGACAACGCCGCGCCCACCTGGTCCACAAAAATACCCTCTCGTTGATGCCAACGACCGTGCGGCGTAGCAGCATCCGGTGTTTCGGCCCCAGTCCGTTCCTGCAGCCCCACCACGCGCACATGAGAACGTGGTCGGCGCCGCCGAAGCGATTGAAGAAGAGACTGGACGAGGACAGGTAATCCACCGAGGCGTCCATGAGCTCGTCGTGCGTCAAGCCCCCACATCTGCGACGAAGTTCGAGATGTATGATGCTGTGATAAAGTAATAAATGACTTGGGATGGCGACAAGACGAGTATTACAGGCGATTATTTACTGCGGTTCGTTCATGAGTGAAGCGTGTATTGCCGTGGGCTTGTGGCAAGGGAGTCCACCCCCCTGGTTGAAGGGGTACTTTTTCACGAACGGCCGCCTTGGACCTCACGAAGCGTGCCATGGAATTGACAAAAAATGTAGAGGGCACCCCAGAACCCTCAGTGAATGGGATCTGTGTGATTTCCAATACATGCAAAACAAAAATGTTTGCATTGCGATGTGCAAACGCGAACTTTCTGCAAAACGTGTACAGAACGACGACGCACAATCTCTACCTGCACAACAACAAGGAACACTAAGCCGTTATTTGATTTTCTGGCCCACGCGAGAATTCTGCGAGCAAAAGCCATCCCGGACACCACCTGGCGCGCCCCCGGGAGGACCGGAAAATTATTCATTTTTTCTCCTCATGGGGCGTATAAGCACACTTCACGCGGACCAGCCAACTCTGCGGGGCACACCGTGTGCAGCCAGTGACGACGTTCCATTTATTTTCTGACAGGGTCAGGTGCTCCTGATTGCTACACGTACTTAATGAATCAATTTGCTACAACACCGATGCAACCCAGGAGCTGCACATCGCAGAGAGACACACCCGACACACCTTTGCGCACGCAACAAGGCTCGGAACCCGTTCTACCTCTCTGCTTAACAAAATGACCCATGACCTATAAGGCGAGGCAAACATTTTGTGCAAGCAAGCGGTTCCACAACAACACCCATCGTACAACAGACATACAAAAATATGGACCGCAAATCACGGAAGGTGCATGCTCTCGTTCATGAATACACTGTACACGATGCTACTCCGCAACTCTTAAATGTGGACCGAATCTCATACTGATCACAAGGTCATAGGTCAAAGATAATCGAATTTGCCGCTACTGCGCAAGTGCTCGCACGAATTTATGCATGACCGTCCTGAGCAAAATTCTCTTGTGTGCCACCATGAAAGAAGACTGCTGGTACTGTTGTTTATCACGCTCATATTCTGCGAGCTATAGATTGAGAAACGACCTCAGGGTGCCCGAACAGAACCCCCCACGACTGACGTTACTTGTGCGACCGTTACCGAAATCGTCCCACACACTTCACTTCGCGGCGTAAGATCAGGTGAGTGAAATGGTTGTGATGACTCTCTACCTCCACTCGTAGACGTGAGATTCGCGCCTTTTGCGCAAAAGTCCTCAACATCTCAACGGTTTGTGTGTGGGGGGGAGTTGTGTGTGGATGGAGAGGGATACTTATCCGATTGCTCGCCTCAAACTACACTCCATCAATGGCCAAACACCTCGAGAGTGTAGGCTACAACGGACACCTGGAATTGAAAAGCAGAAACCCTCTTTCTCCAACGCTAGGGTTGTCGTAAATCCGGTGACAACGTCGAAGGACATCCGATTTCAGTGGCACCAGGACAACGCGATTCGACGCACGGGTTCTAACCATCAATGGGTGCAATCCATGCCAGGTAGAAATCCAATCTTGGTTGCTATGGATCCCTACACTCCAAACAAAAATGAAGGAGACAAAGTAGCAGAATAGACGATGGACGACGGTTGAACAGTAACTGAGGGGACGGAACCAATGCAAAGCACCACAATGTATTTACGTGGTTCTGGTGATAAAATATTTCAAACAAACCTGTGTTTGGCCAGTTTGAAGCTCAGTGCCGAGTAGATGGGTACGTAGAAAAGGTCAGCTTCCTCGGGGTCCAACACGCGCCACGGGTGGGAGAGCATCGCGCTGGAAACACGTGGTACCGTTGTTCGGGTAACGGCGACCCAGGCCGGGTGGAAAAGACGATGGGGGGGGCACGGGAGCACGGGACATGAACAGTAGGGCGGTGTGAAAGTCTCTTTACATGCTTCTTTGCATACATACATCAGGAGTAGGTAAACTGGTGCGCTTTAACAAAAGGGGCGATAAGAGAGGAAGGCGAACAGAGTGGACTGTGTAAGGATACTTTCATGTAGGGCGTGAGTACGGTGTTGGGCAGAGGTTGTGACGAGAGTACACTGGAAACAGAGTAGAGTAGAATGCCGTTGGAGGGAAAAGCGTTTGACAGAAGTTATTGAAGGTAGAAGTAGATCCCTGCCTGCCTATCTCAGTCTCAAACGTAATGTATGTGTGGAACCTTAACGAACGGAGACGCGCGCTCGATGACCTCTACCTCAACAATTCTCGGGGGAAGTGCCGCACAATCCCTCTTGAACAATTTCTAAACATTTTCGGACAAGTGTATGTGATGGCACAACGGGTACGGCAACGGCTTGCAGGGTTTTCGAGGAAGGTACCTCGGCCTGGGTCATACAGACGGACGACAGGCGGAACCAGGACAGGCGTCCCAATAATATGCAAACAATATCAAGCAATATGAGTGACAGACAGACAAGAGAATGCCACGAACCGAGAGATAGACAGATTTCTCCTGCGGTGCGTGCTGAGATATTTTATTCTCTACAAGGTCTCCCTTCGAGACGTGGGCGTCTACCCTCCCTCAGGTTACGCAAGACCACATGCGCATTGCCCGAAGAGGGACTGTGTGTCTAATAACGCTTGTATTTCCGCACAAAACATGGCGCACGATGTTATTTGAAATTGGAGCCAGCTCGAGCAGACAATATTCTGGCAGCGAAAACTCACACTTCAATGATGTCTTTGACGGTCGATTTCCGATGAGAACCGAATTTGAAGCCTAAACACCACCAATGGGACATGTTGAACACTGCGGCTGGATGCATGCTCTCAGGCTTGTTTACACTTGGCCCGCTGCGGAGGGTTGTAAACGTAGGTACTGCTGCTGGACAAATGCGATGACACGAAGAGTCACGGCCATGAATGATGGAGTGAATGAATGGATGAACGAATGAAAGTGGAGAAGCAAAAGGCAAAATCTCAAACCGTCGTATTCGATGGGTTTGACAAGTTTCAGAATTGGTTCGCCAGGCTTCGTCGGCGCAGAACGCGTCCCCGGGGTTTTGAGCCAGTTGTCGCAACTTTGGCTGTCAACCACACGCGCCACGGAGGCCTACCGAGCTCCGGACACGGGCGTACATGTACCGACGAGCCTCCTGCGTGCCGGTGCGGAGGGACCGCGAGAAAAGACTCGCTGCCGTGACAGATTGAAACGCCAAAGCATGAAAAGTGACCAAATCTTACATGTACATATATGCGAGCGAAACGATTTTTTTCATCTGACCTGTGAGGTTTCAGATAGTGCTTCATCCAAAAAACAAAGTGTGTACGTCTGTCCGCTTGGTCTAGGTCTTGAGAGTACAGACCATCACTTGATGATAGAGACCGTTCGGTAGACATCACACAGAACTCACGCACATGCACACACGCACCGCAGACAACACGCACAAGGGGGCCACAGCGATACACCCACAGGGGACGACAACAGCGGCCAGAGAAATAGAGGAGTGGTTGCTGCGAGCTCATAGCTCATTATTGATAGACGTCCGTTGCGGTCGATTGACCCGAACTCCGTCCGTGAGGCAGAGGCGCACACAGACTCCCGGAGCAAACAAACCCGTGGGCGGGAGAGGGAGTACCTAGGTAGCCTGCTGCGTGAGAGGGCGAGAGCTGCTGGTCGTCCGACGGCTGCCACCAGGCGTGCGACAGAAACTGATGAAACACAGGCAGAAAGGTGCGTTGGTGCGTGTGGTTGATTGCCAAGAATTCAAATACATAGCGGCCCCTATGATTTCTTCTTCTTGGGCACACACAGGACGAAACACAGAACAAAGCTGTCTCTCTCTCACACACACATGGTGCGGGCGGACCGGCAGAGAGCCGTCGGTAGGCGACAGCGAAGGACACCAGAACAGCGGGAGGCTAGCCGAGAGACACAAGCTGCGAGGCGCCGGCGAGAGACGCAACAAGCGACAGTGGCCTGGCGTGTGTGCATATCCAACGTTACAAACAGGTGTCCCCCTTTGTCGCCGCATCGTCAACATGCGTCACGCTGCCACCGCAGATCACACGTTGAGAACGACCTCACCGGACACCACTTCGCAGGCGTGCAGCGGCCAGTCAACGGGTAGCGGCGACCAGAGATGCCGAGAGAGCGAGGCGAGAGGGCAAGGCTAATGTGCAGCGGACAGACCTTGCGGAGTTTGGCGCTGCTAGGCTGCTGGAAACGTTGGGTTGGGCCAGAAGCGATGTGCATATGAACTTCCAGCAGCGGCTCTCTTCCTGCTGCGGTGCCCCTCGCAAACACACGCTCGTCCTTCCGTGGACGCTGACGTCTGACGACAGTTACATCTACCAGCTGTCGCTCGTTGTAGCGACAGCTGGTATATCCTCGCTGGCAGGGCCCTGCCGTCCCTATCCCTCGTCAACGGTGCTAACGTCGAAGGTTGATACTCATGACCTTCGCCAGCTTTTCGTTTTAACTCCCTCTTGTCCCTTCTGGCCTGCCCTCGCCGAGGGGGGGTCTGGGCCCCGCCAGTGGGTTAAGACCATACAAATACCACCACGGAGACACGAGCTCAAGCCTCGAGGGCAAAGTAGAACCGAGATTGGTGGATAGGAGTAACAGCCATGGGTTTCAACCCTACCGGACTTGAGCAGCAGCGTAGAACGCAGGGGCGGTTGCTCGGATGGGAAGAGAGGGGCAACACACTGCGCGGGTATGCAAGGGAGAAGCGAGGAAGTAGTGGAGTCGGAGAGAGCAAGAAGGTTGCACGTGCCTGCTAAAAAAGACGCGAACCGGGCTGACATAGACCTCAGCCAGAAAACCCAAACCGCGATTTGGCGAAAACAAAGAAAACGGAGGTTTGAGGGACAAAACAAAAGCGGAGCGGTGAAATTTGCAACAGCGAACGCACCGACGAGGTCGCACATCGTGAAGAAGAGCATAGGTTTTGGAATAAGCTCGATAACCTTATGCAGCGAAGAAGGATGAATGCTAATGCACGAACGGGGATGAGGACGGAGAAAGAGAACCTGGAGGACGAGAGGGCCCTTTGGCCCTTGTGGACGTGATGAGCTGAACGATGTCGGCAATCCAC